TGACGTACATGTATAACGACTGACGCTGATATGAAGAGCTGAGTGACTTTAGAATTTTATTTAGCAGACTCCGGTAGTCCGAGATTTCACTTCATCTTCAATCACACTACCTGCTAAATATGAATAGTCTGGCAAATAAGACCGTTTCATGTACTCTTAAAGGCAGTTTATTTCTATTCAGTGAGTAATAGATGATTCCAGTTTTCGATGGCCACATTTTCTAATATGCATGATTTTATGGAAAGGCTGATTACAACATGTAAGTAAAACTTGTTGATCGAATTCTACTGTTGATATATTAATGACGAAATTTCTTAATATGTTTTAGAAATGCAATAAATTAAAGCAACAACTTGAAGAGAAAACTAATCGTCTTACATTAACCCGACGAGAATGTCATCGTCGGCGTTTATTACTCATGGCCCAACAGGAACTCATGGATTCTGGTCCACAGTCATTACATAAGTGTACATATTGTCCAAAAGCTTTCGTGAATGCTTCATTTTTAGCCACACATATTCATCGTAGGCATCCAGAAGCCAGAACTCCACCTAATAATGTTCCACTTTCTATGGCTCATACAAATACGATGACTGATGGCCTACCTTGTACTCACACACAACAACTGCCTTGTTGTGGGATTCCTCATTCATCGAAGATGTCGCCACGACACATACCTCAACAAACAGAATGCCATTATACAACAAACAATAATATGGTAAGTATGTAAACAGGCAAGATACTTTTTTCACAGTCGTTGAGGTTGAATGCGTTTAGATATCGCAAAAACTATATCTAGGACTTTCAGTTTAAATTGGAAACCAACTAAGAAGGTTGAAATCCTGCAGTGACTAATAGTTTTATGACTGTCTGTATGTCTAATCAGCGGTTTAGTCCTTTGGCCGACTATTTAACCTAAAAATCCATGATAATGTGTCATAGAGAAAGGAAGAGATAATTCAACGAAGAAAGTTTTCTTATTCGATGATGTCATTTCTAAAGCTGTACAATCGTATACATCACCAACATATAACAGTCTATTATTAAACAATGGTGTATAATTGCATTATTAAGCTAGTGCAAAGAAACCGAAATCAAGAACGGAAAGTAGTTGCGTAGTAATGTTTTAGACAGTGGAAATAACGAGGAAGGCAGGCAGTTTGACGAGGTGGAAATTATTGGTAGATGAGAAACAGAGTTTCCACTTGACAGATAGATGTAATGAAGGTGAAGAATGAGACAAGGATCACAATGAAAGTGATTCTAATAAGCTAACCAATTATAATGAAATCGAAAAATTATGAAAATGTTAAGACCATGGTGAGATAAGAGATTGGACATTCTTCTTTTGCACGCAGAGATCAGGTTTGAATTGGTGAACTGCCAGTGCTTCTGCTGCTTCGAATTCACCATAATTTATCAGTTTATTATTATCACCCTCATTATAACTCTTGTCTCACTCTTCACCTTCTTTACATCTATCTATCGAGTGGATACTAAATATTAGTATTCCATTTGACTCCATAAATGACACTGAAGGAGGATTCTAGTAGAGCTATATGTCTAGAGTTGACCAAATGTTCAAGAATTGAACTGTTGATTGATTTACATTCTCTCCTCAATGGCAATTCAGCATGGTGTTCAGAGATACTTTTGGAGAGTGCAAGCCTTTTGCTGCCTATATAACTAGCTCCACAGGACCAAGTAAATTTGAAGACACATATTGAGGTGGCCTGAAGTGGCAACTTGTCCTTAACACACTCTAGGACCAATTGCCGACTAGAGACAAATCTTATCGGAGTATGTTGCCGACCACGTCCATGATTAGTGAATTTTTATGAGTTGAAATTAAATCTTCTTGCTGAAAAAGAGGATGACTGACACCAAAACTAATTTAAATGCTCTACTTTCTATATAATCTTGCTTAACTAAACAGTTATCAGTTTCTGCACCAATCTTATCATTTTGATAATGTAGTAAATGGATGGTCACGTTAGTACGTTCGATAATGTAGTTGAAACGAAGTAATATATTTTCAGCACAACGTAAGCAAATGATAATTGAAATAATGAATTAAAGAATTCGCAAAAAGTGAGTAGACAGTGGTCAGTGAGCAGGGCAATGAGAAATTTGTAACTGAGCCAAACGAAAACCGTTTGCGCGATATAAATGTGTACACCACTGAGCAACTAGTATAGATGGTTTCGAGAGTGGCAGTAAAATTGTCCGGTTTCCTCAAAATTTGTCAGTCGATTAGAAAGTACGATAGAACTGGAGACTGATGAGTAACCTAACAAGATATTTCTAGACCAGTAAGGAAATGAATTGTGAGGCATACAATTTAAAATGAATAAAAGGTACATCAACTCATGCATCCTTTAGTTACTCTTTTACCGAGCTATCGTTATTAATAAACTAGAAAACGTACTACTCGTTGATCCGGTTTTTAAGTATTACAACTTCATAGTACACAGTATGCTGTTCCAACACGTCAGTCACCACTTTTTATGCAACTAAAGGGTGTATGTTATTTGCTTCACCTCATTATTTCAACAAAATTGCTGTACTGCCAATGCTTCAAGATTTAATATATCAAAGGATAGTGAGAAGACTGATAAAGGCTGACGGTAATCACAATTTTGAGGGCTTACTTTTAGAGTTGATGATAATGAACTCGGAAGTCATATTTATCGATGCCGTTGCAATCCATGACACCTGGTTTGATGGTTCAAAAGCTCCATTTTTACCTGCACACAAGGGGAATTTGTCTAGATCAGATATGTCGACACTACGTGACTGCGATGTTGAAACGCATTCGAACATTTTCTCTTTGACGAGCTTTTTCTCTTTGTCTGTATAGTCTAATACGATTTCACTCGCTAGTTTGTGAATGATTTGAAAAATAATAGCAGTTTATGTTACTACCCGTTTATTATTATAAAGATATAGATGATGATTAGAAATTTGAAGTTCTGAAAAATACTGCATTAAGCCATAGTTCTATTCTCTACGTAATTTTCATAAGAAGTAAATTGTTTTGTCTTAGAGTGCCTCTTTGGAGCGTGATGTAAGAGCGCTATTGGACCAATTGAAATCTGTTACTCCAAGTCTTCCGAATCGTTCCAATTCCCCATTTAGATCAGTTGGTTTCGATGTTGATATTTCTGCGAAGAAACCCAATGACTCAGATTGGCATAGACAACTGATGGAAGAACACAGAGTATGTATTTTTCTTTTCATTTTGCCACTAACTTATTTTTGTTACTACAGGTTTGCATTCGTGACAGTAGTGTGAACAACTGTTATGTCTAACAGTGTTAGATAAAGAGAAGTTTAAATTTTAGTAAATCTCTGATCAGCTTGACTAGATGTCAGTGATTCGTATCGTTCATTGTCTGATTTCCTTTCAAATCTAATCACTATCGCAGAATTTACATTCATGTGTATGTGGAAAACTGTGCTGTCAATTATAGTCAAGACCTGTACTTGTGTCGTTTTTCGTTAGCTTTCAACCAAGTTTTCTTATCATGACATTTCCAATAACACACGTTATGTATTGTGAAATTTTCGTTTATCCTTTCGCTTAAGATTGTATCCCTGTAATGTCAAATTTCCTTAGTCTGAATGTTGCAAACAAATTGCAGTCTGAAGAATAAAGATAATTGAGTAAGGAGAAACGTCCCCTAATAAATGATACCATTTCCTAAGGCTGTACAATCGTATTTACAAGCGCTGGAAACGTGCAACATTTCATAGTTGGAGGATAGATGAGCTTCATATTCATAACAAGATACTAGAAAGCAGAACAAAAGCATACGTAAATGTGCACAAAAGATTACGCAACAATCCGTTAACCAATGAAAGTGATACGAAAAGCACAGAACTTAAAAAGGTGTGAGTTGTTTGCAGATCTGAAGTGTCCCACTTAAGCGTCTGCTTGTCGCACATAAGTTGATTCTACGTTGGCCCTAACCCCTTCTTCTTCAGTTAATAATTCTATTATTAACCATAGTAAAGAATTCAGTTTGACGATTCAGGAGATCTGTGTAACTTGCTAACACTAACATTGATGAAATTACATCAGTTAAATATAGGTAGGAGATCAATTCACGTTTCATCCGTGAGTAAGTTTAGACAAAATTCTTTATTTTTTTCAGTTACAGGATGTCATTTTCAGCATCAATTCAGGTGTGATTAAGGATAAGTGCTCAAACTGAATGTTGTAATGATGGTCAATTTATACCACTAAATTCTCAAAATAAAAAACGTTTGATGAAAACTTAAGTGATCATTGGAAAGTGTGAAAATTTTGAGTCCGATCCAGAAGGTTTTTTAAATGTTCAAGCTTCTGAAATGTTTGTATAAAATTGGTCCTGATGTAGTATTTTTTTTCCTGTTTAGCCCTTGTTAGCTAGATTTGATTTTTCCTCTAATATAATTTGTCTAGGAAGACTAACAACTAAAACCTCTTTCTGAATTTTATTTTAGCGTGATATGGAGTCAATGAGAAAAGGATGCTAGGGTGCTCCATTTTATTAGCCTGCAATGGCTGTGTCCAGTACTGACTCAATAGGTGGGAATTGAGATTACTTGTCCTGAATAAACGTAATATACGTAGAAGTATTTTAAAACCTGCAAAAATAAGTTGTGTCCGTATGCTGAAAAATAAATATCACTATCATTGATGACGACGAAGGTTGACGCCCTTATAATAAATGAATAAATATTTTGTTCTCGCTTTATGAACTTAACATGGGAGAAGTCAGTGTATGCGCACCATCACATTGGTAATATCGAAAATCTGCAAGATTTCAGGGGTCCCTAATGGTACAGAAGGGAGTTTGTCGGACCCTATTAAAAACATCAGAAGACTGCGCTAGTTATGAAGCGAACAAAACTGCCACTTTTCGGCATGGAAAAGTGCCAACGTTTGGATCGTTTCCAATCATTCTTTTGTTCTGGTACACGTGTGATCTTCCCGCAACAGTACCGTTCGATGAATGACCGATGGGAACCGGTCGAATAACTCTGGGATTATATGCATGCTGAAACGCACCTTTAAAAACTGGTGCGTGAGTCATGCAAATAGTGTTGCCTTAGGAATCAATCATCAAAACTTTTATCATCCGTGGTAAAGAGTTTTGATAAGACGAAAAAGTATTAAACGCCAGTATCTTTGCCAAGTTTCTCAGTGCCATTGAACTTTTCTTCTGAGATTACGGCTGCTGCAAGAGGAAAACATTACGCTAAGTGGGGAAGGCAAAAGAATCTATGAACCCTTGCTCGCTAAATTTTGAAGTAAGTTTGCTACATTGCCACCATTTGTCGGACGACAGGTTTGTGAACTCTCCACACTTTCGTAAAAAATGTTGACAGATAGCTTCAATGGTTAGTTTGCTTGGTAAGTATTTAAAATAGTTGTTTGGCTACACATTTTGTTCGTCACTGGTTTGTTTTCAGCTGCCTTGACCTCGAAGAACTCAGCTCAGTAGCCAGTGGGTAAATAAATATTCGTTAGAAAAATTAAAGCCAATGCCCAGAGTAGATAAGCTCAGCTTCTTAGGTGGTGAGTTTCGGAGCGTTGCCGTCCTATTTTTCTGAGGAACATTATATAAGCAGAAAATGATAGCACACGATCCTTAGTTGAACTTTACTGGAGTAAAAGTGAAGATGATGGGCGTGACGTGAAGTTTTTAAACAACAGTAGGAAACGTAGTATAATCTTAAGATCACTGAAGTTTTTAATTAAGTTCTTTGACGATTAAATGTTCAGATTTCAAAGTAATGAGGCAATACTCCACCGCAATCAACATCTCCCTACAAACAAACGCTATCTTCTTGCCACTGTTATCCGGGATTTCGGTTCCCGGAGTTTTCGTTTCTTTCTATGGGATGCTTTCCTTTGGAGAGCGGTAAATATCTCAGTGATGTTCAATCTGCCTTGTAGAGCTGCAAATCTCAGACTACAAGCAAGAAAACGGAGGACTAAATCTGCCATTATGGCGCAAAAGTCATGAAACCAGTTGAACAAACAGACCGTTTCAACATGAGGGGAACACGTGTACCGGAGGCTCTTAGAGACGGTCGGCCAGGGCATCAAGTCAGGCTTATAAACATATTTGTTTCTAACCCGAGATATTTGTTTCGCTATGCTGCATCGTTCCAATAGGCTAGAGTGGGGGTATCTCAACTACTAGGTATCAGTGGACTGACGTTTTGCTATACTCAGGCTGCTGAGATCCTATCTGACCAATATATCTTGTAAATATTTTCGTCATCGTCCACCTACCATAGAGCTTAGAGATATCTCACCAACTGGTTAATACTCACTGTCGTTGACCTGGGTGTCGAGTTAGTAAAGCGCAGACTGTCACCGCTCACAAGAACACCTGCCCAGAACCAGACGAAATCTATCCGGCGGCGGTGAGGGAAGAAACATGAATCTTGGCTGAACCTATTGGTGAGTTATCTAAGGATTCTGTAAGTCAAGGGAGAGTACCTGGTCCTCCGAAGTTGGGCCACATGACGCCAATCTTCAAAGGAGATCAACGAAGTAACACGAAGACAGACCGGCTACTCCCTTATCCATACTTTCCAAAGTAACGGAATCGTTGTGCTATAATGAAGTGAGGAACCACCTTATAATGATCAATTTGTTTGCGCGCGAAAAACATGATTTTAGTGCCCCCGTATTACCAATCTGCTCACTGAGTTAGACAGATGACCCAGTACTGTCGACTACCAAGGGAGGATTGATATTATTTATCTAACCGGTGCCAAGAAGTCTGATTGTATTTGTCAAGAATGCCTTATTGATAAGTTACTTTAATTCAGGTGGGTCCAACGCTTATTGACCGGTTGTCCTCGTGTCTACGAGGTCGTTTGTTTTGAGTTTGAGCAAGCTCCTGTACGTCTGGGGGGCGAAGTGTTCTAGTGGAGTCCCCCAAGACTCAGCGCTAGGGCTTCTTCTTTTTCTAATATACGTAAACGACTCCACTCAACAGGTTTCTTCCGAAACACTTCTTATCGGTGATGATGTGGAACTAAGGAGAGAAGTCAAAAGTGAGAAAGACAGTGCTTCTGTGCAAGAAACCTTAGGTCTACTTTAAAACTGGGCAGTCAGTAATAGGCTCACGTTCAATCCCAAAAATGCAGGGTGATACACGTAAGACATGAGACGTATAATGTGTAGCCTCAGTGGCCTGAGGGTTGAAACGTTGCCGATGGAAAAGGATGCAATCGCTTTAGCCCTGAAGACTTATGCCAGGGGAGACGGAAATGCGTTTCATGGAAACTTGGCGGTAGTAACCCTTTTACGCAATTTCCGGACAGTTCAATCCCGGATGCTGTCACCAATTTTCCAGCAGCCTCATATGGCCTCACATGGAGTTCAGGGATATCGTCTTTTCTTCTTCTCCGCAGAGGGACAAGTTGAGCTTGGAACGTGCCCAGAGGCGCTCGACCAAATCTGACAGAGGACTTAAGTCTAAAGCATACGAAGTACGACTGGTTGCGCTGGATCTGTATCTCCTGGGACACAGAAGGCTAAGAGGCGACTTGATCATGTCTCATAACATCCCGAGTAGCTCTTGCACTAATCTCAGAGTACATATACAGAAGCTAAGTCCGTAACATAGCAGATTAGGTATCGAGAGCAACTTCTATTCCCTAAGGGCGGTTAAGCCTCGGAGTGCTTTTCCTGCAGACGTGATCCCGGCTACTTTGTCTGAACCCTTTAAACGCCGGCCCAATGCCTACCTAGGATGTAGGTAAGATCTACTTATAACCAACCGAATTTTCACATTTTGACTGCCACGTTTTGCTGTCTTTACTTGTACACGGGTTTACAACCAAAAGAAGTGGTGGTCCACGGATTTTAGGCACGAGGTCGGTAAAGCAACAGCCTCTCTTCAGCCAACAGCCACCTTGAACCACTCGAAACCCGTAAATATCTCAACCAGTTAGTGAAGAAGACTTAAAAACTAGCGGGGAAAAGTGTCGTACTTACACAGCTTACAACTCTGTCGATTTTAACTGATATCTAATGCCTGTTATTATTCAACTTCTCAGTTATTTACCCTGAAGCACAGTCTCAGCTACTATTTTTAAGAATTTCCACCTGCTCTTCTCGGCATGAAGGAGAGTGCTATTATTGTTCATCGAAAAAAGGATCTTGGTATGAAAGCACTAAAGATATCTGGTCTATCTCTCAAAGTTAAAAGTCCAATCAACAACGGTAGCCCATCGCTTAAGCTACTCAATTTCATGAGTGACGTCTACGGCGATGAGAATGAACTCAAGTTTGGTACCGCGAAAAATCTTGAAAGTATTTAGAAATGTGCAGTTTTCTGCAATGGGTGCATTTATTAGAACCCCAAACCACTAGGTAGTTTAGTGAAATGACAGATAGTTTGTGACCTTTTGGCCGGTGAAGTAAGGAATCAAAAGCTATCCTCCAATTGATTCAGCAGCCTTCCTCACCCCCGACAGTCCCTTACTCGGCTGGGTCAAAACTGTTTGTTTTCAAGCATGCGGCTTGACCGGCACAGCTTGTCGAGTTCGTCGCCTAAGAAGAATAAACAGTTTTCAATGTTATTCTCTATTTCTGTTCAATGCCAGATGCTTCTCTGACCATCAGAGACTTATGACATTCTCGGCACCACACGATAGAGTTAAGATACCTGCTCGCCCAATCCCTTGTCAGCATCGGAAGTGAAAATTCGGTGGTGTGCTGGTTCCACGACCTTCCTCCAAATCAAGAGAGGCTAGAAATGGACCAAAGTTAGAGCACCACCGAGGTGTGAAGCTAACTAGAGCTGCACTGATTCTAACCTCTCCTCCAGCTTTCAATGGAACCCCCTATAAAAGCAACAGTGTGGACCACAAGTGCTGACTTTGCATCACCAACTAGCATAACTGCAATATCAGCAGACCCGTGTGACTAAACAAGTCTTGGTGATGCAGCGATCTCAAAACAGTAATTTTACATATTACGCATAGGTAGGCTAATTTGTGCAACATACCCCTTCCTTAGCTTTGTCACCCGATGCAGAATCCCTTAGCGCTGCCGAAAGCACTAATTCTATGAGTGAAACGTCGAGGAATTCTAGACCCTCAAATAACAGATGGTACAATTTGATCATGCCGCCTAGTCCCACGAATGTGTCTTGATTATGAGGGGAGGTGTAAGAAACTGAAAATTGACCCACTTTGGCTAGGACGCCTTAAGCTGAAACTTAAACTATTTTTCCGCCTTTTGCGTGGCGTTACTCATGCCCGTTGCGCTCCTACTTCTAAGCCTATGTCCTCACACAGTCTACGCAATCGTGAGTGTACTGTACCTGTCGAAAAGCACCGCCTTGAACTTAAGTCACGACCTTTTACGATCCAGTACAGCAAGTTATGGAATAAGCTTCCACAATAAGCTTACCCAAACCTCTAAATGTTTGAATCGGAGTTATTAAAGTCCCCTAGTTTCTTTAATGCAGATGGCTTTGCGACTGCATGCAAAGGTATTAGTACTGGCTCCTCTCCGGAAAATGAACTTAATGATTACTGTTTTCCTCTCAAAGCCACCACCGTACACCCCAAATATAGAAACTTTTAAGAACCTTATGGTGGAAAACTATGTGGTTGAGAATGTACGTAAGTACATAAGTCAGAATAAGTCAAGAAGAGTAGGAACTTCTCTCTTCTCCAAATTTGATAGCGTAGTAATTTCTTATTCCATATCTGCTTGCGCTTCTCCTGTCTTTTCCCATTTGCAGAAACAGTTCCATGTCGATATCTGATGCCCAAATTCGGTCTGAACATAATTATTTTGTGGAATTAATGCCTGCCCACAGAAGATCATTCTGAGGAATAAACTGTCATATTACCAATTAGTAAACTATGCGGATGGACTAACAACTTTGGTTGGTTATAATGCAAACTTTGAACACTGCGCGCTTTTGATATTGTTAGTGAACCTGTCTGTGTGATGGAGGATGAGCATCCACGCCCGTCTCATGAACTTCGGCAAATTTTAATGAGATTATGCACACTAAAGTCTTAATATATGAAATGTTTAATAGTAAATACTATTTTTGTAAACTTTCAAAAATTATGAATTTGACGGTACTTGTAAACTGGTATCACTCATGTTAAGCACCTTATGTGAGAATAATATTTATTATTGTCCGAACTTTAACACTCTGTACGCGCTGTGAAGTAATAGTTCTTTGGTTGTTCCGTAACTAGCAGGATCTTCGGCTGTTTTTAACTGAGTTCAGTGATATTCCGTCTGTACCACTCAGGACTCGTAGTCTTGTAAATATTTTGAGATGTATCAATGTCATGAAGCCTGTAAACTGGCTTCTCTCATGTTAAACTTCTTAATGTGAAAATACAACATTCATTTATTTATATTAGTTAGTTTGCTCTAACGTGAAAACAAGTGCAGAAACACTTCCCACTGAGTACCAGCATGTAAGGGAGTCTCATTTGACCGAAATATGGTCCAGCTCCCCAGGCGAGACAGCATGGGCAGAGTGTCCTGACACAGGCAGAGGCCAAAGCCACCCACACTTGAAATAATGATGAGCTTTCCCGTCACAACTGCACAATATTTGATTCTTCTGTAATATAAATCCAGCGCTTCCACAATATACTTAAGTTAGAAACTAAACGCCACGAAACTCAAAACCACCTCCTCAGCCTTATTCCTTGAAATTTCGCTGTAATAAAACCAGGCCGACTTGGTATAAATAAATATCGTTTCATTCTCATATTACGAATTTAGCATGAGACAAGTTGGACTGAAAAGACTTCTGTGGCCACACGAAAATGACACTGCAAAAAGTACCGAACCTCAAGAATAAAATGTAAAGTTTTACAAATTATAAAATTTTCTCATTCGCACCACTGCTGGGTGTTGTACACCAGTGTTGTATTTTGTTTTCATAGCTTCAAGGTCACGACCTTAGTGGTGGTGCGCAATCCTATTTCTGCGCCTACTTTTCGGCATGACGAGATTGTTCCTTCTTTTGGTGGTTGTCCAGCTTTGGATTCATACATCTGCTCATAGTCATGAACCACCGCATTACAAATATTCTAGGGAGGCCAATGCTGCGTAAGTTTTCACTCATAATTTTTAATCACAAAATTATCCTTTGTTATGTCATTATTTTCATTATCTTTGTTGTATTTACCATTGCACTAGGCTATGTTTTCCCTTATGCAAGAACATAATTCGCCTGGGTTCTCTTTAAACTCGCATTTTTTAAAACTCGTCACTTTCGAAATCTGTTGGTATTAAGCATTATATTCAGTTCGCTTTTGAAAGGATAGTAGATCGTATTCTGTCGTGATTGTGATACCGCCTAGTAGTCTGTACTTTTATGTGCCTGAATGCGCTGATTTTAGGGTGAAGTTTCTCCAAGACTTGACGCATCCATTTCATGCTTCCATGAATAAATTTCCTTTGGACAACCGTATGTGCTACTATATTGGGTCTTTTCTTTCAATGCAGTGTATTTTAGTTGAGATAAACTGTCGTTTCGCCATATTGTGGCCGTAGATCTAGCCATGCTTCATGTCAGTACTTTTCTTTCATCGGTTTTACTGTGGCTTGTTCTGTGGTTCATCTTTATCCTAAACCCCAGCATGAAATGCTTATTTTCACAGATATGTTGATATACTGTACGGCTTAATAACCTGGTCTTATCTTCTTACTTGATTGAGGCTGCTTTGTGGACACAGTTATAGAGCACCAGCTCTGCGTCTTCAGTCATCGTTTGTTCCACGAGGCAATCGATGAGCGTATGAATCTGATTTCTTTTTCATGCTCCAACAATTTTATAAGCCTTACTATGATTTACTTTCGTGGTTTCAGTTTGTGGTTTGGCGTAAAATAGCGTTATACTGCCAGCCGAAATTGTACTGAGTAGTGCTTTGTCACCTTTCACGACTAAGTAGATTTATTCACTAGAAAACGCTTCATCACTCAGTGGCCAATTAACATTTTATAGTTTTTGTATGTATTTTGGTACTTTTGTACAGAAACCTGGGTGAGTACCGTATGGTCAATATTCGGATGGTGATTATTTTTCATCTTGATAAGTGCATTAGCTTTCCAAGCTTCATGTCAAAATTAAAAAATAGTTTTGAATAGTTTCTTCCCTTCAACCAGCTGTATATTTCATCTGTCATATTTGGCTTATATCCACTGCAGATCACTCATTTATCACGATTACACTGTTTATATAAGGTATGCTTATTGATGAAAAGTATTCGACTCATTTCTGTGATTTCTGTGGTCATTACTCACTGAACAAGCAGTTTATGGCCTGGACAGACCAAGCTTTTGCGTACCACTTCACGAGTAAGAAGTTGGTTGATGAGGAAAATAAAAAGTTATTAATTCACCAATGATTAGAGATTATACCGAAAAGAAGAGATTAAAATGAATACGTGATAGGAAATAAGGTGCTCGGTATTCGGAGGAACATAATACTACTTACTGACTTCGTCCTCCAATATGACTGGGTCACTTTAAGCACTCGAAATATTGGATCTGACATATTTCCACATCCAAACTGTACTATCTTCAGATAGATAATGAGGATAATCAAAATAAATTAGTTGGTTTATAAAAAGTGCGTTCACTTAATTGACTCTGGACGATTATAAGCTAGTAATTAATTGAATCATCTAGATCCCTGATATGTTGATACTTTTATGTAACTTAAGTGCTTAGCGTTTACTATAGTATGAGTTGCTCTTAATTTTTTTAGGCCCAAGGAAAATCATGTTCATGAACCACGGAAAGATTCCCCTAAACAACTATGGATTGAAGTCATTGGAGCTGTGCTACTCATCAGTGTTGCTCCATTTATTATATTATGCCTGATACCAGATTTAAATAAACATCGTGGCTTTCTCAAGATTCTCCTTGCCTTTGCAGCTGGTGGTTTGCTGGGAGATGCATTTCTTCACCTAATTCCACATGCACTTGATAGTGGACACTCTGATCATGACGATAAGCATACTCAAGAACATGACCATGGACACGAGCACGTACACGAGCACAAGCGTCACTCACCAGTTGGACTTTATGTCGTCGGTGGAATTTTTGCATTCTTGTGCGTTGAAAAATGTATCCGACTTTTTAGAAACGATCCTTGTGGAGGGCACACTCACCAAGTGGTATCTAACGCGGAAGGTGATAGTAAAGGGAAAAATAAGAAAAAAGGTTCGAACGAAGATGTAAAAAGTGGCGCTAAAACAAAATGTAAGCTATGTGTATATTCATTAAAAGTGTTCATATGTGATTGGTTGATTCTGATATGAACATTACTATAAATTGCTATCATTTACGAAACGTAATCTCAACCTTTTTGTCCATAGTGCGGCATTCTGAACCTTTCAGGAAAAATCGGGAAGCAAACTAATACTGAGCAATGTAATCTATCCACTGCACCTCAGTTTCCGTATGACCGGACATTGACTCACGATTTTTGAATGAAAATCACCTATGCAGTAAATAATTATGCAGATCAAAGGCTTGATGTCCTTACATAACTTTTTATATGGGACCCGCTGTTTGGAGGCATACATGTTTTCTGTATGAGCCCCAAAAAATGGTGTTGGTATGCCAGTTGAGTCAGTGTGTTTTGAACAAAACTTGTCTCTGGAAATAATCCAGTATCGCCTGGTCAGTTTTACACAAAATCGAATGACTAGATTCGGTGTTTTTGCTATAATCAGAGTTACTGAGTAACCGAAGATCAAACAGCTGACCAACCACCTTTATGTTTTGAGTGATAATCCAAACCCAAGATTGTGTAACTTTTAGTTTTCCCACTTCTAACTTCATCTAAACGCTTAATATTATGTTTGTTTATACTGCTTGTTTTACTTATTGTATCCAAAGTTAGTTCGAATAACGTTCTAGTCAAAAAATGATTGATGCTCTCAGTAGTGCTACTTCAACTTTAGATCGCCATTTCAAAGTATTCGTTGAACAGATGGTTTTCATCTTTTTGCTCCTTAAAGAACATATATGGTGGGATATAAGAAAACAAGAGTTTTAGTCACTATATTTGAAGTAATCAAATCCAACTACACCTATGTAGCTACCACGGTCTAATTGTAGTGTCGTGCTATCATTATAATAGGACTGTATAGACAAACGAACAAACGGTGCCAAGATACAAGTTTTTATCTTCCGCTATAAAACGAGATAGATTCTAGTGAGTCACCTTTGCGTATTATCTTTTAAGATTTTCAAAATCTCACTTTATGTGTAGCTTCCATTTGTTACTTCGTGGTATAATTATCTTGATTTTGTCAGGATTTTCGGCAAATTAAGGTGCAGTAGATAATTGAGGAGATTGACTCATTTTGGTGTGCTTGATATCCAACAAAGTTGTTATTTCTGTATAGAACAGTATTGGTGCATTAAGACCTTAGTGCTGTTATTTTGTTTCTTCTTTTAGCTTCTGACTTCAAAGTTACTGGATACCTTAACTTGGCAGCAGATTTTACACATAATTTTACTGATGGGTTAGCTATTGGTGAGTCATTTTTATTTCCAATGAGTTCCCCTTGATTTTGCATTCAATTTACTATGTTAAATGCATAGTGTACCAATGGTGTTAGTTTCAGTTGTCTCACTAATGCGATATACTGTCACCAAGTGATCAAGATAGTTGATTGTTCCTTAACATGAACGAAAATCTGGCGGTAGATACTAACAGACCGAAAGTGTTTTCATTTAGGTGAATTTTAGAGAAATCCAGAAAGGGAATGTCTGAATAAAAATAATTGTATGCAACTGTTGAACGCAATGATGAATCTGACCCCAATGATAAGACATTTTGTAGCCTGTTATAATGTAGTCTTACTACGGGTTTTTGCACTACCAATCTTTTTATGGTATGTGTTTGCCTTTTTAGTATAATCTGTTTCCTTATATACTTGTATCTGATATTTGTGTGTTAACTTTTGTTCATGCCCCACTCCATTGTAAAATTTCTATTTCATTTTTTTTAGTTATGGATACTTTTGTGAAGTGTGGTCATGCTCACTTGATTACTTCAGATATTCTGATAACACCTAATATTTATCTGAAACTAAAAAAAACCATGTTTAGTTGTCGTTATTGAAATTTCATTTAAACATTTTTAGGTGGATCATTTCTAGTCAGTAGGAACGTGGGTTTCCTGACTACGTTTACAGTACTATTACATGAACTACCGCATGAGATTGGAGACTATGCAATACTTATCCAATCAGGATTTTCTTCGCGCAAAGTAAGTCATATTGAGATTTCATCGTAGCTTGACCAGTCTAGAACTTAAGTGTATATCTACTTCAAACTGAAGTATCAAACCAGTTCCTCATTTTGTGCATCTATCAATGTAGAGAGTAGGATGCGGACAAAGCATTGCCGCGTAATAGATGTACATATTAAAAGCTATATTATCTACAGCTATTGCTGAATGTTTAAATTATGTTGGCATTTACTTGAATGCTATCATTCCTGTAATCTTAACAGCATTATATTACAATATATATTGAACTTCACTCATCTTTGTTGATGGGTCTGCAGACTAGATAAAGACAGTCAACTATCAGTTAAAATCATTTCCAAAGTTAGACCTTAGTGTTCTGGGTATTTCTGATTTCGCTTTTTTCGTTATATTATTCTAGCTTTCGCTGTTAAGTTTGCCGACAGTTTGGAAAACTTTAATACCCTGCATAAGAAATAAACTTTCGAAGTTATTTTTCAAAGTATGCTGTAACTTCTCGTTTTTGTAGAGACATGTGAAATATTAGTGGTATCTGTTATTGGTGTTTCAGGACTATCGGGTGTATCATCCTCTCTGTAGGTGTTTTTGGTAGGGATTTTGTAATAATTATTTCTGTTGACGGAGTTTCGGAGACCGCCCTCTTTTATAACGTAAACAATACAGTGGGTCATAAATGCACCATACAGTTTTACAGACTAGTTCATGTCTAATAGTGCTAAATATCAGTATGCTGATATCTACTTTTCGCTTACACTTGGTAGAAAGTTGGTATTTTTTTTATCGACTTTTACATGAAGTCACCTTAGTAACTTTAGAAAGTGTTATGAATCTTTTTCATCTTAAGGTAGGTAGTTAATCGTTTACCCCATTTATTCATGCATAAAACAGTGAATTCGGATCAGATTGGAGTGAAATCTACCTATGCGAATGCAAATAAAGTAGTATATTTAGCAACATTGAAAGGTATAACGGTTGACTGGTGAAGAATCAGACAAAAATAATATAAATATCGTATTGGATTATAAAGTGCAAGTGGATAACTTTATTGTTAGGTTTAGTATTTTATCCTTTGTCAGCTGTATTTCCTTAATAAACAATCTTAACTACTTTATTGGAGATTATTTAACGACGTCCATAATTTTGTATTTATATAGTTGTAAATGTGATTCAGATGCCTTGTCTTTCACCATTAGCCATTGCTCCGAATCTCATTCTTGAAGATGCCCATAGAAGGGGATAGCTAGTATTTTCAAGTCATTTCTTTTATGATGCGCTGGTCACAGACATTTATGCATTATGCCTCATTTAATTTTGTGACCTAATGTTATATGCATTCGAATTTCAACAGTTAGGTTATAGGCTTTATTCCTCCCCAACCACAAAGATATCAATATTCGGGTGGTGTTACACACCTGACCGATAGCTGTTACCTTGATGTGGTGGTCAGGCTTGCATGTCACAAGGACCCAACGAGGTATGCTGGCGGAACACCTGTTCCCTCGAATTCCTACCATACTAAAAAGGTCTGTTGGATAGTGGTTAGACGAAAAGAAGTTACCCTTGTGGTGTAAATCGCTACACTATAATGGGGTCTGAGGGCGAAGTCGTACTGCTGCTAGCTGGATGGGGTGTGACAGCAGGAAGGTGTTTCCCTTGGATGACCAGCAGTGCCATGCTGATGCTGCCTTCTCAGAGGAAGGGGGGGTGGGTTAGTAAAGGTTGGCCCCAAAAACAACACTACTCATGCCACATGGTCTGCCGGGCCGGCGGTGTTGGTTCATTTGTCGTTTCTTTTCGACCATCCGGCCCCAAAACAACAAAAGTTCAAAACAAGCATATACAAAAGGCTGTGTGTGACAGACCTCAAGCAGATGTCTGATGGGCTCTGCGGTTACACAAGTCTCTTTTAGGTACCTCAAGAAGAAATAGCCTTCCACGGTGTGGGCAGCCGGGAAGTATCAACCGTCCTCACAACTGTGTCAGCAATCAGGTTTTCTCAGACTGCTATCCACCTCCCTCATCATTACCTTCTAATTTTCCTTCAAGTCTCTTTACTATACTACATCATCTTCAATTTCTCCTAGCTCTGTAGCCTTCGACAACGATCTGAGTCCACAAAACAGCATACCCGGTCTCCTTAAACCACGCTCCAAAATACATATTGGAGACTTCACTGTCCGCACCCTCCGTCGAATTGGTCAACAGGCTTCGTTGGTAAGACTCTTGCAACTCGGGGCGTGGATGTGTGCTGTGTTTGTAAAACATGCATACGGGACACAAGTGCGGTTATTCACCTGACCTCTCCTGACCAATCTGGTGAATCTGCGAAATTCGCCCTTCGAGTTTCTGGAGATTCGATGGCTAGCTCTCGCGTCCCTTCAAGTGTAGGCATAGCATTAAGCACTAGGGCAGAAAAACCACTACTAGACTGGATCCCAGTTAATAGTCGCCTCTGCGCTATCCGACTGAACTACACAGTGAGAACTAAAAGGAATAGTGATACTCGCCGTTGTCTCTGCCACTGACTGTAGTTCGCATAAAGTGAAGAACGAGTTCTAACGTAAACCATCTAGCCTCCTCTCGAAAGCCAAACGTTCAGACGTGGTGGTTGTTGCAGGTCACTTTAATGCATAGGTTGGAGACTAGGTGATATGGCTGAGAACCGATATTAGTGGTGCAGATGTATACACATATTATCCTCATCTTAACGCTATAGCAAATCTCACCTTTTTCTCATTCTTCCTTTCTCTCTTTTAGTACTTTATATTTCTTTTGACTGAGTTTTCTTATCTTCATCCTTCACCTCACTGCCTTTTTACATGATGTGCTGATATGAGGCGTGACAACTCGGACCGTTACGCAGTAATGCCTGGTCCTATGATGATGATTGTGTTACACAATGTACTACATAAACTTACATTCATTACTAAACACATCTGATGTCTTCTTTTGAAGGGATACCCTTAATTCTGTTTTTATTATTTCACGATATGCTGCTTATTTTGAATAGCTTTAAAACGGGGATGACCAAAATGTATTCGTTTATGTTGTTAAAAGCGTCATATCTGCTGAAGTTATTGCTTTAAAGGTGACACTTTGACCATTGGGGATCACATCTGAAGATAACCTCTATAAGTAGGTAAAGTATGTTCTACCACCTTTTAAGAACGGATGTGCCACTGCAGTTGTTGTTCTTTTGTAGAACCCCCAGGAATAAGATGTTTCAGTACACTGGGAATCTGTAATATATTTTATGCAGTGCAATTCAATTATATTAGTTCAGGTTCACACATAAGGTTTTAGTTCATATCTTCGTCATGAGTGATAACCGTATCATCCGAGTACATTGGCTCATTTGTTTGGGAGTATGGATTTTGAGCAATGGATCCCCGATCAAAGTTCTGCTCCACTAGGTTAACCTATGCAACCAGATAGTATCGTAAGCCCTTACATATTGTGTAGCTCATACCCCTTGGTAGATAGGCATGTACTGAGTTGGGTTACATTATTTTAATCCTCATTCTTTAGACTGGACGTAGTGACTAAAGATAAGACTTAAGTGGGTCTTTAAACGAAGCTCATGAAGTTATGTTAGACTCATAAGTGTCTCTTGTCAGGAATATGATTTCAACTATGGTTGTTTGAGTTTATTAATATGCTATTAATAACTTTTTATGGTTTTTATGTTGTTCGTAATAATTTTGTACAACTTTTGTTCTTTTTCAGGCTATGCTTCTGCAGTTGGTCACTGCGATCGGTGCCCTTTTAGGAGCCTCTGTTAGCTTGCTTGCCGCTCGCGTCGGTTTCGGTTCTGTAATTCCTGATGCCGATTTACTACCAGACATAACGGACGATATTGTTATTAGTCGCATCTTACCATTTACTGCCGGTGGTTTTATCTACATTGCTATGACTTCCGTATTGCCCGACCTACTTACAGCTAATAGTGGTAGCAGTGGAACAACAAAATCATCGAGTGGTGGATTCAAGTTATTTGTTCAAAGTCTTCTTGAAATAATCTCTTTGATTGGAGGTGTTGCAATGATGGCTGCTATTGGAACCCTTGAGTAGTGTGACGGAAAACAGCGTGATAAGACATGTAGTTTTATTGTAGTTCCCTGTTTTTGCACTGGTACTTCCCACTGCATTCTAGTCTTATTTTGTATCGATACGTTTGTTGATATAATGCCTACTTTTCTGTTGAGAAATGAATTTGAAAAAAGCATTTCCCTCAAGATCAAAAAGTTTATTATTAATTGCTAGAGACAACATATTGTTACTCTTCATTCGAATATCTTCCCCAATGTTCTCTCATATTTCTAGTTTTTCTGTCCAAAGTGATTCTGCAATCATTGATTAAATATATATGCATCTCCATATCCGATAGCGATAAGCAAGATAGAAATTACAGGAATTTGAAGTTTTGACAACCTCGAAGTTCAAGAAAAAGTTTCGAATCATGATGACAAAACGACAAAGAAACGAGTGAGTGAAATTATTGACATAAAAGAGACAAGTCAACTATACATTCGCAAATTCGTTCACTGGTCCCCGTGGGTTGAACACTGCGGAGTATTCGTATAACTATGAAATCATGGACAATGAAACTTATGTATATTTATTTGCATACATAAATTTCCAAGCTTCCCCTAAGTTTCATTTGTCCATGATTTCATAGTTATACGAATACTCCGCAGTCTTCAACTCACGGGAACCACTGAATGAATTTGCGAATGTATAGTTGACTTGTCACTTTTATGTCAATAATTTCACTCACTCGTTTTGTCATTATAATTCGAAACTTTTTCTTGAACTTTGAGGTTTTCAAAACTTGCGAGCCAACCAAAACTCCGAATTTCTATAATTTTGGTCATGCTTATCGCTATCTGATATGGAGATGCATAATATTTACTCACTAATTGTAGTAGAAGTTTATCGCTTCAACAAAACTGTACATCGATCATTTTGTTCTTTTTTGTGTTGGCTTTTTTACTGCTTATGATTACTAACTAAATTTTGATTATTTGTTCATTTTTCTCTTTTGCTAAGTATACATGGTTGGTATTTATTTCAATATAATTTTGTTTATTTGTTGTCGAAGTCGTAATAGTAAATTTCTATGCAGATATTTTCTTCTCTCATTTTTAAAAAGATAGGAATTACTGCACAGTGTATATATAGATTCACCCTGTTATATTTTGAAGCAGCTAGGTTTGTTCAACGAATAAAAATAGATGGCTGGTTAATGCCAATTTTGAATCAGGTTATACAATGTCTACAGCAGCTTGATTGCGTTCTTCTGGCCTCTTGCTAAAGATAGTGATGCATGACATCGTGAATCAACTGCGTTTTCTGGTCAAACCATACATGCAACCGTAACCTTTCTCAAGCATTCAATTTGTGTGTGTGTGTGTGTATATTGTGACTTTAAACCCATCTCACTGGGTGTTTCCCGATGAGTTTCTGATTTGATGGTTTGCGTGCAAGAACATCGTCATTTAGCTGCTTTTTAACCACACTTATACTAACAATAAAAACTGGGTTCAAAAGGCTGAAACTATCTTTCTATTTCCCTGGATATTAATTAAAAAACGCATGTTGATATGTTTAGCTAATGACTGTAAAATGCAACGAACATATCTCACAAATTATCTTGACAGGTATCATCCCAAATTATTATTTTTCTTCTACACGTCTACTTATATGTACTATGACCAAGTTTCACCAATGACGCTTTTTACCATGTCTCACTCATATGTTTTCCCCTAAATGTACATGAGATACTTAGTTGATTGAGAAATAAAAAAGGTAATCCTTGGTAGTTTATTACCTTAACTAGTATTTTAGAATGTGTGTCGCCCGCTTTGAAAGTGACGCAGTGACGCTTTAATTCCCTAGTGGACGATCAAAATAAACTTTACCGTGTTTCGTACGTTGATAACTCACTGAACCTAGCGAAGTTAACATCTGTATATGCAGTGAATTTACCTACCTCTTAGCAAATGAAAATGTGATCAAAGAAAGTCATGTTACCCCTTGCATCAAAAAGTAATAACGAAGTACTACACCACTTGCTAATATTCGATTACCAGTGAAGGGTTAAAGTTGGGTCTGTAACACCATAGTTTGGCCAAACCTATAACTATCTTTCGTATCAGTAATCCAATTTGGAGGTTTATGAGGATTAATTGATTTCAAGATGGTATTCATCACGGACTGACAGTTAGATGACGATTCAAAGCCTAAAAGCACTGGAGAGTTGCTTGTATAGGGGCTGAGATCTCGTCGGTCGTCCATAGGGTGGATCAAGGCTTCCTGAATACGTGACACACTACACCACTTCATTAAAAAGTACTTTAATTTCAGAACGATATATCCATTTTAAACGTTTGACCGGTGTGTGATTGGAAGACGAAGTTGATCTGGATAATGTGGCTTATCTCGGCAGTGTATTTCGATCAATCCAATAGCACACTTACTTATGCAGTCAGTCTGTATAAAAAGGAAAAAGAGGAGAAGTGGACCACCAAGGTAATTGCAGTGTCAGGACAAATTGATTTTGATGGTGTTATGTTCTCTGAGCTGGATGGATTAATCGTGAAGTTTTCATTGTCACTCTAGACAACATCATCAGCACAAACCTCAGAATGGAGTGATGGATAAGGTTTTCTACACAACTTACTCAGTTGTTTGTCGTGATGACCTCGTATGTGATTGGCTGTCATTGTCTCCATATTTATTTTGATTGGTTGTCCTGATGATCTGAAGTTTGAATTTCTCATTGTTTCATATTGGTTGATAGGTTGGGTCAATGTCAATATGTCTGTTGATAACTGACTGACCTGAATACCAAGCTTCTAGAAATTCTCTTTGTTCTTCCTCGGTCCAGGATTTTCACATTTTCCCAGTCAAATTCATGTCCACAGTAGTCCATTTACACTGGTATGAGCGAAGTTGTGTTATAACGCTTCACTATTAGTTGATATTCACGTATACGGATACGAAGAGGGCGACTACTCTGTCTGATATAGTGTTTTTGGCAGTTCCTGCTTTTGAAGTTTGTAGATAATTTTTTATTTTCTTCCTTTGCTATTGTATCTTCTCGCCTGCTGAACAAAGAGTGAAGATATCCTGTGGGTTTGTGAGATACAGCGATACCAAAAGACTTCAATAATCTAGTCGTGATCTTGGAGATGTTCTTCATGTAGGTTAGGACAACCTGTTTGTTGGTTTTCGAGGTTGACTTCTTGGTTGGTGAGGAATTATGCTAACATCTTTTGATGAAGTTGTATGTATAGCCGTTCTTTTGGAGAATAGTCATTAAATAGTTTTCTTCTATTCTCAGAAACGTTACAGCTCTATACCCCTGTGTTAAATCGAAACTGGTCAAGGATACAAGGGCTCTTCTCGTCAACAATGATACACACTTCTCAGAACACATACAACTGCAATGTTTACGTTCAGTTATGCAGTCAGCCTGTATAGAGAAGAAAAAGAGGAGGAGAAGTGGATTGTCAAGGAAATTGCAGTGTCAGGACAAGCTGATTTTGCTCACGGTTATCGCTCCCACAAATCCTAATGTGCAACCTCGACTACTTAGCATGAAAATGTAAGAGATCATTGGAAACTAATTACGTAGCCTGTTTCTACAATGCGTTACGCTGTGAATAAAAAGGATTATCTCCTACCTGTGCTTACGAAACTTCAAGATTTCTACTCTTACAAGAAATTCGAGCATATGTACCTATATGTAGCTCGACCGCATAGTTTGAACACTTCTCCCTGTGTCTGTCTGCACATACATCAACATTTGAGACTTAGTGAATGGACAATCAAAATAAATCTTACCATGTTTCATACACTGAGAGCTCACTGGAGCCCCGAAGTTATGTTGGAATCAGTATTCTCAGTGGATTTGACTAGCAGTTGACGAATGAAATTAATAGGGATCCCGTTACCATTTATTTTTGTCACCAAATCGCATTTGCTGAAGACTAGCAATCTATGAAACAATCCGAGAACAAGCATTTCCGATTATGGGTTACCTGGAACTCAGTAACTGCGTTTATATATATATATATATATATATATATATATATATATATATATATATAAGCAGTGAGGTGCGTGTACAGTGTAAAGGGTGTGAAACTACTGTGCAATTCGATGATGAGTTAAGCTTATGTGGATTTGAACAGTAACACGAAAGATAAGTTTATTTAATTGTTTGGCTATCAAAATTCGTCAGAACATTATGAAAACATATAGTTTGATACCCAATGTCACTAGTCTTAGCTACGGTGGATGATGCAATAACAGAGTATGTAAACACTTAATCTAGCAATCGTACACGCAACTAGAACTGAACAGTTTATACCCATATTGAACATTTGCTTTATCTATACACTTATTTTTAATGAGTCCTAATAACCAATACCATTTCATACACATAATCTCTCAACTACTCAGCTTTTCAACATATGAACGAAGGTTTTGCTCAAAACTTTGTTATCAGTAATATCTATACACTATTCGCTAAAAGAAATAAAAACTTTCAGGTTACGAATTCTTCGACGTTACATCCGACTTAACTAAATGAAAAAAATTCTCAAAGTCTGCTTTATTAGTGCACTATACCATTGAGTGTTTTAGAACAGAAAATTCCTTTACATTTGCGTTACTTTGAAATAATGATTTTCTAATACAGAGAATGAAAATCCCAATCATTGTTAATATTCAAATATGTCAACTTTATAGTCACATTATTGTTTTATTGCAATTCCTGTCTATATAGTTTACTGAGTAATCGTTGGCTATATGTCTTAGATTTTAGGTGACCGATGCAAGGTGACAAATATTTTATGCAGTAGATTTCACGTCAGATAGCTAATAACGTTAGCTTGATCATTTGTACACTATATGCAAAAGGTAAAATTTAAAGTATTGGGTGGGCAGTAGAACTTAGCGTTAAGGATAAGTTTGATATACTGATGTATATATGCTTCTGTTCTTGTACAACCTGCTAAATTTATCATTCTTCAGTAGTCATTCCCGGTCGTCTTTAACAACAACTCCCTATAAGACTAGACATGGGTGAACATAAGCCCACCAATTCGTCTATCTTGTAGTGGATCACAACCTCAGCTTCAGTTCCGTCAATAAAACAAATCTTTTTAAGCTTACATTATCTCAGTGTGCTGCATCCTGAAGGTTTTCATTCTACTTATTGGAAGACCTGAATTATGTATTCAGGAATATATGGTCCGATTTCCATTGTAATGTTGACTATATTTACTATATTATTCATAAAAATCTTTCCTTTCTTGTTTCATTTGATATATTTCCATTCTAAATAACAAAATTTAGTTTTTCTCTGCCTTATTCTATTCAACCTCATTCGTTCTTTTTTTCTTTATTTTGCTTCTCTAAAAGAAACCACAGCCAACCGAAGGAACTGAAAACGTTCCACTCACTTTATTGTCTCCTTATTTATCTATTAGGTTCATTCTATGCCACCAAATGATTTCAACCCTTCTGGCTTTCGGTTACAATAACTTATATGGTACTTCATAAAATTCTTCCAATTTATAGAATTGAAAAGAGCAAACACAATAAATGTATCACGACAATATGAACTGCGTGCCACCTAAGTAATACCAGAATGTACACAGCAAAAAATGAACATACTTTTTGCAAATTAACAAGATGTAATTAACAGGGTCAATCATCAACATAGATAATCCAAATGATTAAAGTAGAGGAGATCCTTGGGAGTGTAAAATTAAGATGGATTATTCATAGGACTATCCGGTGAATGCTCTTTATCAAGAAAGTTAACTGTTGGATGAAAACCAATTATTATAGATTGTGCAACTCCAGAATGTTATGAATCTACAAGAGCATGAACATTAAGGTTCGAAGAGTTCAGGTAGAGTAATAAAGTTTAAAACACAACAGAATGTCTCCGTGGTAATGGATATCCATAGAAATTCATCAATAAGCACAAGAATGTACCGACTAAAACCGTAAGATATGACACAGTCAAGAATTTGTTTTCCTAAATCTTGGTTGCAAAGGTAGAATTAATTCCAGAGTAAGTGCTGCCTTAAAAAGTACTTATCCAGCT